AATTTTACAATTAATTACAACACAGTACAGCATGCGACAAACAGTTTCAGTTCCTCAAAAGAAAAAGAGGGATTTGCACGATAGTGACACATATCTCTGATTACCACGAGCAATCCAAAGCACGGTCACTCATGTTAGTTTTTCTCTTCGTTATGCCCTAAAGATGAACACCCATGATGGTTTCATTATTTATCAAAGTACGTTTCTAGAACTGATGAAAACGAAACATTTTTCTGGTAATGAATAATAATTATTTACTGTTAATTTCATATAGCATCCATCTATTAAAGGTGACGATACATTAAAACTAATAACGTTGTATGTTGTTTTTTTTCACGCGTAAAAATGTATACTTCTGTACCCCAGTCACGTCACGAAACAAAAATATACGTTGGGATTTGCACTGAGAGAAGAAAATCTCAGTCGAGGGGTTACATTATTCGTCTCCCCACTTGGCAAAGCCCCATGGGGAATCAAAACTATAACAGCTTAAGTGGGATCTCCTTATCAAGGTGTAAAGCCTACCATAGGTTCTATAGTCCGCCTCTACTGTACAATATACACTAAACTAAGTCAATTGAGAATTAAGTTTACGCCGATAAGGATATGACTTGAAATCAAAATATTCCAATAAGATTTCAACATTATATTTCAGATTAAAGTGTTAAATCAAACGAGGATGTTAGTTGTGATGGAATATTTCTCTTACCAAGTGAGATGGAATATTGCTTATGCCAAATGAGATGAATATTTCTCATACAAGTAAGATGGAATATTTCCCATACCAAGAGAGATGATGATTAAAATTTGTAGCACAGTGAGACAAGAGAATAATATCATTTGATCTATTTTTTTTACAAATACTGACAATGTAAAACTTTTGTAAAACCAATGAAAATCAAGCTCTTAAATTAGAGACAAAAAGTGAAATAATCACAGACGAAAGAGATTGTGGATAAGATGGATGCAACAAACAAACGCTGCATATGTAGAGCGTCGTAATTAATACGACAAAATAGGACAAATCAAATAAAGATCATAAAATAGATAATTAATTTTTTTTAATTATGCCTATGCTGCATGAGTTGTCATAATTTATTTTTTTAAATGAAAAGTTAATTTCATAGATTTATGTTTTGTTACTGTGGCAAAACTTTAATTAAAATTGCAAACAATAAACAAGTTATTGCTACAAAAAACAAAACAATATAGTTTTACAGAAACAATCTGTCCAACTGCATTTCAAGACCGTCTTATTTTATTACCTATAATGTCATTTTATTTATAAAGATCAAACAAATAGTTTGCAATTTTGCATCAAATTTAATTTTGCTTTAACAAGAAATTGACGTAACGAACATCAAGACTCGCTGCACAACCAGTAGCAAAACTTGTTACATCGCCAGTAAGAATTGTTTTACCTGTTAAATTTCTAAAAAAAATATTTCCGAAAGATAAAACAAAAGTTGTACAAATCATGCGCAATACTGCAAGAAATAGTAGCAATGTTCAAGATGTTTGCTTAAACAAACAACAAGTAAATACCTTTTTCCCTTATCATTTTAACCTTTAATATATCTTGTTTTGAAGTAAAGCATTACATAGATACATACATACATACATACATACATACATACATACATACATACATACATACATACATACATACATACATACATACATACATACATACATACATACATACATACATACATACATACATGCATGCATGCATGCATGCATGCATGCATGCATGCATGCATACATACATACATACATACACATTCGCATATGCTTTGCAGACTCATCGATAATATTGCATCGTAATGCAAATTTCAATATCCTCTCCGTTTCAAACCCTCGAAATCCTAATCAATTAGACTAATATGGTTGATATGTAGGCTCATTTACGATCACTTTCAAAGAACGCAAATCGCCTCTCAGTTTGCCTTATTAATACGACCAGCCATTGACTTTGTGATAAATGAGATCTACAGAATCCCTTAGGTCTCCGTCTTTTTCGATGCCATAATTGAAATAAGACCCTTCAGGAAAACTTTAGTCTATCTTTAATCTAAAACCATTCTTCTATAATATTACCTTCATCTTGGAACTGATTTAAAAGGTTAGATTATTGCAGAATTTAAAGAATTAATATAGAAAGGCTCTATTACAGCACTAAATTTTTTCTTTATGCAAATAAATTTTAATTCGCTTAGGAAATTACAATCTTTCTGTGATTTTTAACACAATGTCACGACTTTATGATCTTAAACTAAGAAAAAAGAGAAAACTAACAAGTTTTGTAAAATTCAACAATCATTTATTTCCAAAAATACAAAGCGAAAATAATAAAAGATATAGTGCTGTGTATTTAATCCCAAACAGTACTTGAAATTTGATGACAAGTCCAAAAGAACAGAGTATTCGGAATGAATTCCGGCTGTGTTCCAAATGTATTCCAATGTTGATTGTACTGATGTGCCAGTAGTCTCGAATGTGCGAATATGCCAACAGTCTTCATCTATCATATTCATATAACCCAAAATGTCCTTCAATGAACTCACAAAAATCCCCAAATAGTTATTATCCGAAGAGTCCAAGAGCATTTTGTAATTCCAATGAATAATTTTTAAACTCCTCTCTAATATTAACTAAAGCTTAACTAAACACTGATGTTAAAATATTAATTAGCAATTCTGAATTAAACAACACTGATATAAAAAGCTAAGACACAATAATAGAACCAGGATGAGGTTAATTTTCCAATCAAATTCCTAAAGAACTTACTTGTACAACATTCTTAGTTTCTAAAAAAGCTAGATTTTGGACTCAGCGTATCTAGCCATGTTCACTTCAAAGCAATAATAATCTTAAAACATAATCAAAAATCACAGACAATTACTAACTACAGAATGCGTTCTTTACGAAAAGAAAAGCAACCAAAAGACGTAAATAGGTAGGTGGGATTCTACCCTCAATTACTCACCAATGTCAACCACATAGTAAAAATTCAATATACATAACATATAATCATAAATAAAAGCCAACACACAGTACAGATTTTATTTATATATATATATATATATATATATATATATATATATATATATATATATATATATATATATATATATATATATATATATATATATATATATAAGAGCGGTGATAACATGAAAGTGAAAATAATTGAATATCATGATGCAAACAATGTGAACTTTAATAAACGTATGTGAATTCGATTTTTAAAAAATCTCATAATTTGTTTATCACTGTAATTTTGCAAATTGAATTATAATAACATTTATCCATTTTTAAATTAATTTGAAACGCACATTTTTGACTATTAAGTTTCTTAAAATCCATTACTTTATTTATGAATATGGAAATGAGCTGAAAGACATTTTGTTTCAATTACCTCTGACCTTACCGGAAATTATTGAAATGAATAATTCAATTTATTATTATAATGGCTTTTAATGAATTTACAATAATCCCAAAATAGTTTTTTAGTCCAAAACGTCATGCAAACTAGTTTATTTTAATGAATAAATTATTAAAAAAAATACGTTTGAACACAACAGTAAATGATTCAACGGACTAAACCTAATACAGGAATGATTAATTTTGCTTACCATAACCTTATTTAAAATCCTAAGACACTATAAAATGGTCTGGATGTGGTCGCAAGTTCGCTTCATAAACATTCTAAGACTGTAAATAAGGCTAGACCTTGAATTTAGATATCCGTAAATAACTTGTTTATAACCTAATAAAAATGACAACAACAGGTGCGCACAAACACACTGTTCTCAATGATCTATGAATTTCAGTACACGTTACAAATGAAACATGCCTGACGGAAGTCACACTAGACATAAGATAGCTTAGACAATGGAAGAGAATTTCAGGAACAAACCAGAAGCAAGACGTGTCAATGACATGGTTGACTCAGACTTACACATGACATCAATCCCTATAGAATAATAGTAATACTTAAATATTTAGAAAATATTCAAATAATTCAGTGGCATAAAATTGTCCATAAAATAACGATGCTCATTATTAAACAAATGCAGCGCTGGACCACACAAACACAGTAGTAATGGACGGAATGCAAGGTAAAATCGATACTTACCAATGACTAACACATTATGGCTTGTTATAAGAATGCCTACTCACGATGCCTGTAGATATGGGCAGACTTCGTACAGAACACGAATTCTAAGTATAGAAAGTGAACGTCAAAGAATTTTACTTTCTGCAAACAAACAAGTTGCTTTGAGAAGATTTAATTGTACCATATGAACAAAGCTTTCTCTATATCACTGTATTCACTCAAATTCAGTTTAAACAAACCTAGGCACCATATCACTGTATTTACTTCAATTTACTTTTAGAAAGTCCTTGAAAATATTTCTTCAAAACAAGAAACTTTGTCAGGTACACATTGTTGACGTTTCTTCATATTAACTTTCAGTAATGTATCAAGCATGAAGAAATGCTACGATACATAAGGTTTTAAGAATGGCCTACTAAAACCTTGGACTTCTTTCCTATAAAATTCGGCCTTTGAAGACTATTTTGTATACTATAAAAATCACCTGTCTGAACTGATGCAGCAATGCTGAGGAGAAAATTCGGGAAGTAATCAATTCCAATTTCTTTATTTAATTTTTTATCTATTTAAATAAAATTGTCTTCGTTTCTTCATCTGTCGTTTAAAATATAATTTATTTCTGGAACAAGACACGTATGTATGTATGTATAATTTTGATTTTTAACGTAGCTTTAGCAATTTATTCATTCATATCCCTACAACGTCCAACATATGACAGTTTATAGTGATGTCAAGCACTGGGGCATCATGTCGCAAACATATAGCATCATGTCGACAGACACATTTTCCAGACAACAGGCCGACTAGACGTAATATTAACCCGATCAGCGCTGAGGGCCAAACGAGGCAGCTGCTATACGATTTTATAAGGCTATGGTATAAAACACAGCTGGGATTCGAATCCACGACCTCCAGCATCCGAGGCGGACGCTCTAACCACTTAGGTCACATGTACGGTCGAGCAAGATATTGTTTTAACAAATGTTGCCCAACACATGCTCATATATTCGTCTATGCTGCTGGTTTTCGAAAGTCGTGATTTTGGGAAGTACTAATCCATTGCATACTTCAAATTTTCCTGTTAAAACAAAATAAAGGGGACAATGACCGTATTAAATAGAATGCTATCAGTCGAATAGGTTAACTCCGACTCTGTATCACATGTGTTTTGATGTCGCAGAGGAGTTGTGCCCCTTGTGCACTTAGAGGCCACAAGATTGTAATAGGTATTTAATTGCGTTTCTGTGTTTGTTAATAGTGCGGTACGCAATCAAGTATACATGGCAAAACTTTACCAGCGGCACAAGCTCGGATAGTGGAAGCTTATTGTTTAGGTTTTATTTACATTTAGAAATAATCAACAAAACTATTTGTAAATGGTACATTATCTAAGAGTTAAAGATTCTGCCAGGCTTTAAAAAAAAAGGTTCAGTCATGTTGATAATATGTGTCATTATGTTAGATCAATTGTGTTACCTTTCGTGATTAAAAAAAAATGTGAGACCCATCATTGAAAATTTGCTCTTAACGATGTCTAGTTCTATCAGAGTTACCTCTCTTAAATGCATTTGTGTATCTGGTTCAGTCCTTGTTAAAATGACAATCTAACATTGTTCTGTATGACAGTGTGTGACACGCATGCTGAAGAAGGATATAAAGGATAGAAAGTTTATCTATTTCACTAAATGTTAGCATTGAGGTGTACGGAGAAACCATATGGTTTTCTTTGTTTGAATTATTGTACGGAAGAACAGTTCTACGACCTTTCTTTACGTATGCTATGCGAACTGTGGCTGGGAGATCTTATGGACAAAGACTGACCTATGACCGAGTCCCAGATTAACGTCAAAGGTTGGAAGATATATATCGGATGGCACATAACCAATTAAGATAGGCGGAGTGTGAACAGTTCCAAAAGTAGAACGAGGAATAGAACTTTTTCTCTAGGGTATAATTTTTTTATTCAGTAGAAGGGTATGTATAATGTGAAAGATGGACAAGAAAAAAAAACAATTTGAGGAAAATGATGGTGTAGATCAAAAAAGCACAGGAGAGATTATACATATTTAATCTTAAAAGGCGGAAACATCAAGAATAAAACGGAGAATCTAACAAGAAGAAGCAAAAATGCTAAAAAGTACAAATAGTTCAAATTTGTCCTTTATGCAGAAGATGAAAAAACACATAGTATAATCTGAGAAAATTTATAGTTTAAAAAAACAAATAAAGAAAACTGTATCATCATTATATTTCACTGGCCCATATTTCAGATCAGACGCAGATTACGGGCCTTGTTCAGTGTCTAATATGACAGAGAGACCGGTTGAGATGAAACTGTTTTTATCGTATCAGACTCGTAAAATGAGCGAGGAAAAACAACTAGAAATCCTAGTTTTTTTTCCACATAGTCTGATAAGTTTAAATATAAAAACAAATGACTAGTCAAGAGGGACTTGTGAAAAGATCATTGTCACGTTTTGACAAGACTTTTTAAACATGAGCTAAATTAGAATACAAAGTTGTTAATATACTCCAGACAGAATTAATAAAAACCATTGCTTTTTTCAAATTAATCATTCCGACAAAGTGAATGGTATCTGTATCAAAAATGCTTTAGACCTTGTTTCTGGTCTATATTAAGGTAAAACAAACCGCCTTAATTTTCAAAATTGGAAGATTAGGATTAATTAAGAATAAATATAAAATTTATTAAATTTCTTTTTGCAAATTGACAGTGATCAGCAAAGCTGCAAATATTTGAAACATAAATTCTCAAATGTTTATCAAAAGTCGTATAGTTTGCATAATGATACACGATTAATTTTATATTATCAGTGTGTTGAAAATCACAGGACGAAAAATTCCCTAAGCGAACAAAAAGTAGGTACATCAAGACATAGAAATTCATGCCATAATTTCTATACCAAATCTTCGAAATTCTGGGTAAAAAGCCTAATTAAAGTAATAATAAGACATCTATATATGACTGAAAAATTGTTAAAGCTACGTTGAAAATCATAATCACATCACATCACATCACATTACATCATATTATCAACAACGTATTTTGTGGATCAAAGCAACACGGTACAGAATCATATTATCAACAACGCAGTGGCAGTATTTGCCGTAGGACACCGGTAAATTACAATATGGAATAAACAAGTATAGACTCAGCAATACTGTTTATGTCACTACGGTTGCAAATGTGATGCAGTTTTATAGAAGAAGTTCGACTGGCCTGAGGTGGCGTAGTAAACATAGGTCCCTGTGTTATGGGATAGTTGTTTAGTTTCTACGGCATGAACTGCTGACGGTACGGAAGTTGAAGAAGAGAAACCATGCATATGTGCGGATGATAGACAAAATTGAAAGTAGTGATATATGTGCATTTGCGTTGATTAGAGTAAAATTTTTGTATAGAATAGACATGTCGGGCTTTCTAATTTACAACTGAAGTTGTATGGAAGTCTTTGGAAATTTGGGTAAACGTATGACTTCTAGCGGAATCGCACCAGGGTTTGACACCGATCGATGGCTTGTTTCAATATTATCAGCATCGCATTATATGGCTCAGACATCACAGTACAGAATCATGTCTTCAGCAAAGCAATCTGTGGATCAAAGTATCACGGTTCAGAAACATTATCAGCAACGTATTCTGTGAATCAAAACTAATATAGAGTTGATGATGTTGTCTCAGAGATCTTCCTGCCACCCACGCACCCCTCCAAAAAAGTTAACAATTTTGTCAGCGGATCGATCGTCTCTCCATACTACATGACAGTCTCTTATTGTTACAAAACATTATATTAAACAAATGAAAAATTATAGATAATGTCATTTTCAGTACGACGTGGATTTGATCTAACAACCAGATTGTGTAAAAGATTTAGTTCAATCAAAACATGGTCATGTTATACTGGTATAAAACGTAATATAATAAGCGATTGTATTAAAAATGTAGATCATTATATATCGCTGAAATATGAGTCAGTATGGTTATTCGCGACTGAAAATGATATGAGAATCGCCGGTTGGGCAGATGATGTGATGATATTTATTGATAAAATGATTGATATATTATTTGATAAGGATATTTCTGAAGTCGCACAAATTTAAACATCTACTTTTTTATAATCTTTTCATATTAGCTAACTGTCATTGGAAGAAAATCTTTTAACATACTATCATTAATATGGAACTCACGTATTAAATCGTCCATATCATATTTTATACCACGCAAAAAAGACCGAAGTTGATCAAATAATTTTTTTATGCTGTTTTGCAAGCATTGTTTTTAGTCGTTAGTCGAGGTTCAACTTTTTACACACTGCTGCAAGAGAAACACCTACACCAGATATTATTAACAAAAAACGGATTTAAAGATTCGCCACTTGAAATTATGCCAGAGCCGGTCATTAGCAGCTGTAAATATGATATCACTCGAAGTATCTTGGTATAGCATTTGTAACATGTTTTGACGCACCAAAGTTTGTTTATGATAGTATCTGAAATATTGCATTAGAGAGTCAACATCTTGTTTTGGAATGTTTTCTGAAATATGATTAAAATCGACTATATTTTTTCATTATACAAGATTTGTTTACATATTTTATACCATCATATAAGTAACTAATTCAGGAGTTTCAGCTACAAATTCAATACACCACCAACAAGTCGCTGCGGTTAACTTTTTATTATAGCTATCAACATAAACGTTTCTTCGGTAACCTTGTTTAACACTGTTGATACAATACAGTTCCAGAAAAATCATCGGTCGAATGACACCATGGAAATGTGGTAAATATACTGAATTTTCCGCTGATAAAATACCGACAGTCTATATAAACCAGTAACTGTAATGTGTTTAAGAGTGTTATTTTGCTGAGACCATGTTGTTTTACCTGATGCTACTGTGTAAACGATATTGTTAGTTCGTCCGTGTGGAATGTAAACATTAAGTTTTTTAACAATGTTAGGAATGACACTAACGATATCGTTAAGTCTTTCGTTAATGTCAGCGTGTTTCATATCAAAAGTTGGTGGAGTTCCAAAAAATTCGTTAAAAAATATGTTCAAGTTGCTACAAAAATTTAGAAACATTTGTACGTGATTACCATAATCTGTTTTAAATGTGGCAATTCCATCAGTGATTGTTGCTAACGATGTTGTTATTGAAATCTTCTTATCGTCGACGGAGTTTTTAGTTGCAGCTTCTAAATCCTTTTCTCGTGCTCTGAGATTACTTATACCAATACTGTTCATATTGAACGCATGATACCACCGCTCGCTAATACGTATTTAGTTTTTTGATCGTCGACGTAATTTTTCGTTGCCGTATCTGTCTGTGGTTGAGTTTCCAAGATATGTAAAAAAAATTCTGACACAATGATGTCACCAGGAAATACATCGCCAGCTTTCTTAACATAATCGTTAACGGACTTGCCCGAATCTTGTATTTTACCTTGGTCAGGAAAAGTAACGATATTATTAACAGCCGCGGTGGAAATTCGTACAAGTACATCTAATAGTTGTATATTACTCGTTTGTAATCGTCCATCTTTATCTTGAAAAATAACAACTTCATTTTGATCAACGCTTTTGATTAGTAATTTCAATATTGAGCTGATCAAGAGTTGCATATTTAGATAAGTAGCTTGCTAAGCAGACGATGAATCGCCTACTCATGTTCCATATTTTGAATTAAAACTCATTATTTATTTATTGTTGACTAAATTATATGCCATAAAATTATATAACAATAATGGCAAAATCGTCCATATTAAACTTTGATACAGAGCGGTTGGTGAAACATAAACGTAACAATGAACTTCCAGATTGTCATTATCTTATCGTTTGAAGAACTTTGGAACGTTGGAAGAACAAGTCTGTAAAACGGCGGAAATTCCATCAATAAAGGAGCTCCTAATGGCCGAGTGGTCATAGTCACTG